ATTTTGGCAGCCGCCAAAGATGATCCAGCTGCAGGCATCTTCAAAGATGATCCATGGATCATTTTTGGCATCTTCAAAACTCATTGGTCAATGCTGAAATGATTTACACATGCCTTAGGAGAAATGCCGAGCCCCCCCTCCCCCCCCCCCCCCCCCTTCTCTCTCTCCCCGTTTGTGTATGGTGCCTTCACCTTTCCAGCTGCTGCACCACAGCTGGGCCCGTAGCATTCATTTGCTCCTTATGGGTGTAACAGACAGACAGACAGACAGACAGTGGCGGGGATGCCCTTCGGTGCAGCGCTTGAACTGTGACAGCTGGCGCCGGCCGGAGTCGCCAGCAAATCACGACCGCCACATCCACATATACCAGTGCCACCTCCTCCCCTCCCTCCCTGTCCCCTGCGCTGCCAGGCTCACCGCACAGCGCATAGGGGTCGGGGCTCCAGGGCAGGGCGTCGAGTGCCACCAGCGTCTCCCCAGGCTTGCAAGTGCCCCAGGCGTCCCTGGGAGGGAAACACGCATGAAATGAGGCCGCCAGGTCTCCACAGGAGTTGGTGGAGAGCGGCATGAGACGGCAGCAAGCAGCAGCAGACAGACAGGCAGGCCAGCAGCCACGGCCGCCGCTCCCCGGCACCATCTGCCATGCAGCAGAGCGCCATGCAGCCAGCTGCCGCCTCACAATCGGTACGTGCATCCCATGCACTTGCCGCGCCCAGCCAGCCCACACAGGACCTTGCCGGGCCCGGCACATGGGGAGCCAAAGAAAGGGTCGGGATCCAGCGGGGTGCCCATCCGGAGCGTGGGGCCGGAGGGGACGGGGTTGGAGACAGGGTACCAGCCGGGCGGGCACGATGCGCTCAGGCAGCTGGACGTGTCTCCAAACCTGCCGGGTGGGGCGCACGCTGGGCGCAATCACTCGGACAGCATGCGGCATGAAGCGCGCACGGCGCAGTGGCCGGGACCCCACCCTCCCCGCGCCCATCACCAACACTCGCCATTTGAACACACTATCAAGCGAGTACCGGAAGCATGGAAACTGATAGAATCCCTTCTGCTTGCCGTCAGTGAAGGTATAGTAATCCTGGGAACCCTAAACCCTAAAAACCCTAAACCCTAAACCCTAAAAACCCTAAAACCCTAAATCGGTTCATTCATTCATTCAGCACACAGACCGGCCGCCTCTTGCTCGAGGGCGGCCCACTTTGGCCTGGGCAGCCCGGGCCGCCCTCCCCCCCGGGCGCATGTTCGGTGTTGGAGGGGTGCGCCCAGCGATAGGGGGCCCCTGAAGGCATGCGCCGAGGCCGGGAAGCGTGGTTCGGCGCTGCTGCACGCTTGGCGACTTGAACAGAACCGCGTGCCGCCGAGCTGCGGCCGCAGTTTCCGGCCCACAGTCTACGGCCACAGCCACGGGACTCGGCGGCACGGCGTTTCGGTCCACGGCTTGCTGCCGCCGCCGTCGCAGGGGTGCTGCCTGCGGCGGCGGCGGCACGGCGTTTGGGTCCACGGCTTGCTGCCGCTGCCGCCGCCGCAGGGGTGCTGCCTGCGGCGGCGGCGGTAGCGCACGTGGCAACCCCCCGCGCTTCCTTGCCTCCCATCCACCGGACCCCGTCCTGCGCTTCACTTTGTTTCGGGAGGGGCTGCTCACTGCTCATTGCTCATTGCTCATCGCACACTGCTCAACGCTCATTGCCCTATATCCCACCCAGCCGCAGGACTCTACTGCCGCCCGCGCCCCGCCCCATCTGGCCGCTTGCGCGCCCCATCCCCCCTCGATGGGGCCCGCCCACACCGGGGCCTCCCCCCTCCCGCCCACTGCTTTCTCAACGGCCCCGAGCCGGGGCTGCCCTCATTGCATACATAGTGCGCCTTTCCCTGCTTTTCTAGTGACCTAGCGTTCCGCACTGCCGTTTGGCCAGCCCATGCTCCCGTACCGTTGCGTTTCTCCCCAATGCGCCATGCCACTTTGCCAGTCATACACACGTTTCGATGCGTGCCCTGTCAGCTGCTTGCGTTGCATGTCGCCTTGCTCCACCCCTGTTTTATTGCTTTCTCTGCTTTCGCCCGGTTCCCGTCCCGTTTCGGCGGGGAGTCTATGTTGCAAGCTAGTTCTTGCTTTACCAGACTTTAAGCCCACACAAGCAAGCAGTGTCAGTGAAGGTATAGTAATCCTGGGAATGTCCGCGAAATAAAGGGAATTGCTTCATTGACGCCCAGCCAGGGCCAAGCTTTGCGCACGTGTCCTTCCCCACCTGAGGCTGCGTGACAAGGCCCAGCGCAAGGCGCAGCGCGCGTTAATAATAGCTATGCCATGGCGGCGAAGGCGCGCTGTCATGGCAACCGCGCAGCAAGAAAGGCATTCATTCATTCAGCACACAGCCCGGCCGCCTCTTGCTCGAGGGCGGCCCACTTTGGCCTGGGCAGCCCGGGCCGCCCTCCCCCCCGGGCGCATGTTCGGTGTTGGAGGGGTGTGCCCAGCGATAGGGGGCCCCTGAAGGCATGCGCCGAGGCCGGGAAGCGTGGTTCGGCGCTGCTGCACGCTTGGCGATTTGACCAGAACCACGTGCCGCCGAGCTGCGGCCGCAGTTTCCGGCCCACGGTCTACGGTCGCAGCCACGGGACTCGGCGGCACGGCGTTTCGGTCCACGGCTTGCTGCCGCCGCCGTCGCAGGGGTGCTGCCTGCGGCGGCGGCGGCACGGCGTTTGGGTCCACGGCTTGCTGCCGCTGCCGCCGCCGCAGGGGTGCTGCCTGCGGCGGCGGCGGTAGCGCACGTGGCAACCCCCCGCGCTTCCTTGCCTCCCATCCACCGGACCCCGTCCTGCGCTTCACTTTGTTTCGGGAGGGGCTGCTCACTGCTCATTGCTCATTGCTCATCGCACACTGCTCAACGCTCATTGCCCTATATCCCACCCAGCCGCAGGACTCTACTGCCGCCCGCGCCCCGCCCCATCTGGCCGCTTGCGCGCCCCATCCCCCCTCGATGGG